TCACACACACACACACACACACACACACACACACACACACACACACACACGGACTTTACAGCCCAGCCACTACCAGTGCGTAGCGTTGTATATATCTATAAATATATAAATATCTATAAATATGAATATATAATTCATAGATATGGTCCTGTACTAATAACAAATGGGGTTGATGACATTTTATACGGTTTTCTTTTTAAACGTACGAGACGGCGTCTCAGAGCAATGATGAGCACAGTCAGTGGAGGGGGAGGAGCCAGCACCCCATCAGCCCCACCCTGTGGGCGTGGCTATGTGACTCCGCCCACTGGCCTGCAGTATATAAGCACAGCTGACCCTCTCTCTCTCTCTCACACACACACATGAGCACCGTTTGCATACACCCCTCTGTTTACAGATGTAGGTTTGCACAAAGGGCAGCGGAGCCCAGCGCTCTTCCTCGGGCTGCTCCTCCTCTTCCTCTAGATGTGTGTTGAGATCCACCTCCGAGCCTCATGCCCCGTGTAGTGACGTGTTTGTAAATTGTCCTGGATTTGATTTCTTGTGCGGAACGAGGAGGAAAATATCCATTCCTAGATCGACCATTTCAGAAAATGTGCTGTCTTAAGAGTATTATTGTTTTACGCCGAGAAAACCGAGAGGATTTAATTGTGTGTAAATGTTTCAATGGTCTGTACATTTGCGGTTGAAATGAAGTAGTGTGTGCATAAACAACTCGCCGGACTGTGAACTCTTCATTTCATATCGCCCTGTGTAAATTCCTCTGCAAATGACAAAACTGCTCTTCGGTATGTCTGTTTGTTTTTTTAATCTGTTTCCTTTCATGTGTTGAAATAGTAAATTGCTTTTGAAATCAGATCATGCATGTTGTTTTTACGGCAGTGATGATGATTTCCTCCAGCAGATCATGTGGTGTCTCATAACAATATTCAGGAACGAACACATACATCGCTAAGCCTTAATAAAGGCAGTGATCTGCTTTATATCATTTATATTCAATGCAAAGTCTGAACAGAGGCGGACGGTAGTGAAGTATTTTACTCTGCTTTAAAAGTACATTTTTCAAGCGTCTACGTTATAAGTGTTTTTCTTTAGAAAACTTCTACTTCACAACATTCCAAAGCATAATATTGTACTTTTTACTGCATTGTTTCATATTAAATATAAATTAATACTTAATTACAACAGAAATCTAGTACTTTCTATTACTCGAGTAAAAGTAATTCAAAGTTTTACTCTAGTACAAGAAAGTGCGACATTTTTAATATTCTTAAGTATTAAAGCTAAAAAAACTAATTGTCCTGCCTTTAGCAACTTTCCCTGAAAATGAGTTGGCAACACTGCTCACTCACTCAGTTCTCTGACTTTCACACACATTTACTGTCTGATCAAACCTCTGCTAAATATTCACACAGAACGTGTGCGAGTGTGTGTGTGTGAGAGAGAACGAGTGTGTGTGTGTGTGAGAGAGAGAGAGAGAGCGAGTGTGTGTGTGTGTGAGAGAGAGAGAGAGAGAGCGAGTGTGTGTGTGTGTGTGTGTGAGAGAGAGAGAGAGCGAGTGTGTGTGTGTGAAAGAGAGCGAGTGTGTGTGTGTGTGTGTGTGTGTGAGAGGGAGCGAGTGTGTGTGGTGTGTGTGTGTGTGTGTGTGAGAGAGAGAGAGAGCGAGTGTGTGTGTGTGAAAGAGCGAGTGTGTGTGTGTGTGTGTGTGAGAGGGAGCGAGTGTGTGTGTGTGTGTGTGTGTGAGTGAGAGAGAGAGCGAGCGAGTGTGTGTGAGAGAGAGAGCTATTAATGAACAACTATTAATGCTAACATATACAAAACAACAGGGATAGTTGTGGTGAAGAGCATTCATGGGCAATTTGAACAGAACTTCTCCAAAGTCAAAGAAAGAGCACAACAGGAGCCCAAAAACAGCGAGCAACTCCCCACCCCAGAGGAACCAGACAGAACCCCAGCTCCACACAAGCAGGTAGAACAGAAAGACCCTCCCAGCTCAGAACAAACCAAAGACCCCTATCCACACTGCTATTGTACTGACATGAGGGAGAAATTCACAGCACTGGAAATAGAACTGGTGCAGCTCAGAGAGATGACTATCTCTTTCCTCGCTGCCCAAAGCACAGACCAGCCCAGCAACAACACCACAGTCAAACACAAAGAGAAAGACGATTTCAGGAGAGAACTGTACTCACTACAGGCTGAAGTGAAGCAGATACTGCAAGACAGGGACAGACTAAAGGCCCAACTAGCAACACTGGATTCCCAGCTCACACAGCAGACACAGAGCCACTGGGCCCTGTTAACAGCCCTGAGAGAAGAGATGAGAGAACTGAGAGAGGAGAAAGACAGCCATCGCAAAGACCTCACCCCCACAGAGGACACCCCCCACACTGACCACAACTTCCAGAACACAGTGGCAGAGCCCAGCCAAAACCTTCCTTCCTCACCAAACCCTCTACCCAGCTCACAGCCAGCCTCAGAATCAGACTCTTCTTCAGCACCCATGGAACACACACAAAACCAGACATTGTTCTCCTAATTGACTCAAATGGGAAGTTTATAGATGAGAAGAAGCTCTTCCCCAAACACAGAGTGGCCAAACTCTGGTGCCCAAACACCCATAGCGCCCACAAACTGCTGGATGGGGACAAACTTGGGTCACCAAGTCACATAATTCACACTGGCACAAATGACCTGAGAACACAACAGGAAAGAGTGGCGACAGCACTACAGAGGGTGGTTGAAAAAGCCACAACCACCTTTCCAAGTGCAAAAATCACCATCTCCACACTGCTTACCCCGAAAGGACTTCCACCCAGATACAATTCAGCCGGTGAATGCAACAACTGAGCTGAAAGACATTCACCAGATGCTCAACCTGATCTGCTCACACATACTGTCCTAGGACAAAACCTGCCAACAAAAGTAACATCCCATGGATAAAGTATTTATCATATCATGTTGGAATATTCAAGGCCTGAAGTCATCTGCTTTCGGACTAAAAAGCAAAAACACAGACTTCACCACATAAATCAAAAACTCAGACATAATCATCCTGCAGGAGACATGGAGCAGAAGAGATGGACCCACTGGTTGCCCTACAGGCTACAGAGAACTCATCATCCCATCCACCAAACTGCCTGGAGTGGCTCAGGGAAGAGACTCAGGAGGAATGCTTATCTGGTACAAGTCCAGTTTAGCCCACTCTATTAATATTGTTAAAACAGGCCAATTTTATACATGGATAGAAATCAACAGGGCCATCACCTCAACGGAGACGAACATCTTCCTGTGTGCAACTTACATTCCTCCAAAAGAGTCTCCCTACTTCAACGAAGACAGTTTCCCCACCTTAGAAGGAGAGATCAACTACTTCCAGTCACAGGGCAACATACTGATCTGTGGAGACTTAAATGCAAGAACAGGTGAAGAACTGGACACACTTCATTCCCAGGGAGACAAACACATACCAGGAGGTGACATCCTTTCCCCACCCACACAAACCCCAAGACTCAACCATGATAAAACAACAAACAAAAATGGAGCACACCTTCTACAGCTGTGTCGTGCACTGGGTCTGTACATAGTCAACGGCAGACTGCGAGGAGATTCGTACGGTAGGTACACTTATAGCTCAGTGCTGGGTAACACTACAGTAGATTATTTCATCACCAACCTAAATCCAAACTCTCTCAGAGCGTTCACAGTCAGCCAACTAACCCCACTGTCAGACCACAGTAAAATCACCCTATAAACAGATCAAAACCTAACTCCGATGCATCCAAACAAACCCACCTCCACACCCTCAAACACGTACAGATGGAAACAAAATAGTGAAGATGCATATCAAACCGTAATTTGTGAACCAAAAATACAAAACCTATTAAATAATTTCCTAGCTACACCATTCCTACACAACTTTGAAGGGGTCAATTTAGCAGTAGACAGGATTAACCAAATATTTGCGAGAAACAAACAATATAAGATCATCCTAAGAACAAAAAAGCAACATATACAAAATCAGCTAAAAGTAATAGAACAATCTCTAGAATCAAACCGTTTCTGGGAACATTGGAACACACTAAACCAATCTTACCATGAAGAGTTACCCATCCAGAACGGAGATGTGTGGATAAACCACTTCTCTAACCTCTTCAGCAATATGAACAAAATCCATGAACAAAACTCACTATACAATAGACTGTGTTCTAGAGGCAACCATTAAAGAGTACCAGAACTGTGTGTGTGTGTGAGAGAGAGAGAGAAAGAGAGAGAGTGTGTGTGTGTGTGTGAGTGAGTGAGTGTGGCGGCGTGTGATGTCTCAGTAGTGTTGTCTAGGAAGGCAGCACACTAGGTTTTGAGACGCAGCCGCAGACATTTAAACATCAAACAGGCCGCTCCGGTGCGGGACAGCGAGTCATTATAGAAGAAAACAAACATCCACTGATTATTAAAACCATCCCTCCCTCCGGTAACCGGTCAGTCGCTGCCGGTGGGGTTAGTATGGACGGAGGCTGGACGGGTGTCGTCGGGGGGCGTCGGTGAAGCAGGAAAAACACCCGAAACGAACAGACGGAGGCCGAGAGAGAGCTCCGCGGACAGACGCCCGGTGTTCGGTGAGTGATGCTTGCGAAGCCGCGCGGTTCTCTGAGCGTGACCGGGGCGCCTGACGCGTGACACCGACTGAACCCCGCGCGAATGCCCGTAGACGCGCGTCTGACGTGTTTATCCGCCGGTGAAACACGGCCTGCTCGCGGTAAGGCTGCCTGACGGTGCTCCGGTTTAACGGGTGTGTCAGGATTCACAGGCGCGTCGAGGCGTTTAGCGGGCGGTGGACGCGCCATTAATGAGGTGGAGCAGCGGTTAGCTAGCACGTTAGCACCGAGGCTAACAGGCCTCAATCACACACACACACACACACACACACACAGACACACACACAGACTCAGATTCAAACTCTAGTGGTTGTGAAACGCTCTTTCACGCGGTGTCTGTGCGAAGCGCGATGCTAATGCTAACGTCAGAAACCGGCGTCTGGGCCATAAAAGTGATTCTTTACATTAAACTGCTA